AGCACAGAGGCAATCCAATCTCACATGAATGCCTCACTGGAATAAATGAACGACCTCCTAGTGTTAACCTCAAGAAAATCACATTTAACTGGGCTTAAAAGTTGTAATGTGAGGGCTAACCACGAGAACCCCCCAAACTAACCATATTACTTTAAAATTTCATATAGAAAACCTAATTATATGCTTTTCTAAATCTCCCTATCAAAAATGTAACTTTTTCAATATTCCTGGTAAAAGACTTTTGATCAGAAATTTCATTTTTACTTAACTCAAAAGCAATAGAAATTTTTATGAAATTGCATTAATTAAAGAGATAAACTGATCTCACCTAAAATATTTTCTCTCAAGGATCAAAAAAAAATCCACTTAGACATATAACCAAATGTTATTTAATATCTTAAAAAGTAACACAATCCAAAATGGATATTTCACACAACACTACATAAACAACATGAACACAATATTACCATATGGAGGGACTTTCAAATATAGACTTACAAAAATCCCTGTCCTTTTTTTGCTTTTAAGTTATTATACTAAGCATGACAAGTAATCATCATTTACAATATGGTACACTGACACGATAAAAACCATGTTACAAATGTGCTGTTATAAATCAGTAACATTAGGGAAGACATTTCATGAACTGTAATTATTTCATATGAAATACTATACAATATAAACAGAACATCCATCTTGGATGACCTTTACAGCAACCAGAGACCAAGTAATTTAAATTTTTTTCAGTGCAAACACATTTTATTCAAGGCAGTCTTGGCTGCAAAACTCCTTTCTAACATACAGTAAATCCCACTTGCACTTCTTAATTCATTTACCCTAATGCAATAGTCACATTCAGTCACTCAGAGAGATACCTGCAGAATTATGATCCCTTTAAACTTGACGTTTAAATTTGGTTCTCTTCCAGAAAGTAGTATCTATGTCAACTGCTCTAAGGACTTTCATTTTTAGCCGTCAGTATTAACATGAAGGTGACTCTGGGGCAGCTCTATTCCTGACCAGCGCGTGTGCACACAACCACACAGTATTCTGCCCTTCCAATATGGAAACCGTGGCACTGTCAGATCTAGGTGGGGGGATGGTAGGCAGGCAGGGAGGGGTCCTCAGAGGAAGAGAAGAAGAGTTGCTGAGTGTGTACTGCTGACCATCTCCCCAGAACTGCAGAGGAATACTGTTGGAGGAGAGCCCAGGTAACATTTTTTGGTGGGAGCAAGGAAACGAGGGTACCCAGGTCAGCCTTTGGACACGAAGAGAGGCAGCTGCACACGAACCAGCCAAGTTTCTAACTCTGTATAACTGCCACCGTTTCAGAGTCACCGATGCCTCACTGGGAAGCACGCTGGCACCGTATGTGTGTGCTCACACATGAAGCCAACAATCAGCAATTAAAGCCCCATAATTGGTAATATATAATCATAAGGAGGGTCAGTCCCCCTTCAGCTTTGTAGAATTCTGAATCTTCCAAATCATCAACTGTATGTAATAGAACGACTAAAAACACAGGATTATGTAGCAGAGGAGCGATCACTGGGGAATCTTTCTCTGGGATGCTGCTGCAAAAGACTCAGAAATTAACTCAATCAGGGGCATGCCAATGCCTGTTTCAAACACACAAGGAAATTTAATAATCCGTTTTTCATATATATAATTTATGAAATGTCTTGTAAATAAAAATCTATGGAAATTATTGGATGTATCCTTAATACTATAAAACCTTCTGTAAGAGGGATGGAGTAACAGCTGATTCTTTTATCTTACTTGGCAAAGCTCAGACTGATGGTAATCTCTTTTCTGCCCATATTTTACTAGCCCAAAGCAAAGCAGTGTCTCCCTTGGCTTCTGCATTCATTTTTCCTTCTATCCCCTAATGTTTGTGGAAGAGTTCCTCACTAACAGAAGAGTACTGCCAGCTTTGACAATGAGCAGGTTGATACTACCATAGGGGCATGAAAGAGGGAAGTAATCACTTCCTGGGTCCACTGTGGTCTGACAGTACATTGCTAATTGTTGGTTTGGGGACTGGCCTGTGGTAATGGACAAGACACCTGTCAAGGATCTTCTATCTCCTAATTTGAGAAAACACTTAGTACTGGATCAGCTCCCTTGGGAATACAGACCCTACCAAGTAGGACTTATATATTGTAGTGAGTTTCTACAGTGCTACAGAACACTGTAAAGAGTACTTGATAAAGTTTTTAATTAAAATTTGTTTCAGCACCTTCCACTGCCTGGGGCAGTCATGTTCCTGAAGATGGTGTTTTAGCACAGGAATTAGAGAAACCCAATATGAAACTGTAAACAAGGATGGATAGCTGGATCTGCCTTGGACTGCAATGGCATTTGGGTTTGTTAATCTGCTAATCTCCCACTTTGTAATTCCAGTAACAGTAAGGTGTGCTGAGGTGTAAGATTCTAAACACCCCAAAGTTTCTGAATGAAAATGGGCAAAGTGTAAAGTTGTGTTTGTTTTCTTTGACTTTGTTAGCACACAACAGGAAAATAGCATGGTATTTAGTGATTTCTCATGCTGGACTATCAAACAGATAGAAAATACATCAATGATAGCTGCCACTGTATTTGTACATAATTTAAGTCACTCCTTTCGTTTACTGATTTCAAGTAAGGGTATTACAAAGATGATCTGCTTTGTTAGTTGTGAATCTAATACTTTGGAAGTACTTTGAGATCTCAAAATGGACTGTGCAACATCATTTTCAATTGTTGGATTTTAGATGAAGCTCTGAATTGGTAAGACTTTTCCAAAAAAGACCCCTATTTTATTGTGAGAAATAGGTCTATCATTTAAGTTAAAAACTTTATTTTCAAGTACACTTTGTGGTGAGAAGTGGTTTATTCTGGGTAGAATTTTACAAAGCTGTGCCAACCTAAAAAGGGAATGGTACTTCCATTCCCATGGAACAGGTTTCTTCTCTGGATAGTGACAGGAATAACATTTAAATTTACATTTTAGAAATGCTGGCTGGGTTATGAAAAAGAGAGACTGGAGAACAGCTGGTGTTCAGATTATTGTTACTCCAGATTAACTTTCAATTTATGGTTCTTGAACTTGAACTCCCCATGATCAGGGTTTCAGTCATTCATTATTTTTATCCAACTAGTCCCTGTTTGGCTCTTCTATTTATTTTCTCTATTGGATGCACCCCCCACCTTTTCATACGCTCATTAAGGTCCCCTGAGATGTGCAAAACGTATCAAATGGAATACAAATTCTTTAACAGAAATAGTGGAATGCATGGCACAGCTCTTTTTAATGAAAGTGACGTTGGGCTTGATAGAGTAGCATGCGGTCAAGGCAGAGAGGGCCAAAATGCTTCAGAGTTGGCAGTCCAAACTTTTTTGTGTGTCTTCTGTTTCTGAAAACCTAGCAATCAAATCAGATTTCTATAGGAGTATATAAAGAGCTTGCAAAATTATGTTTACCAATTGAGAGAACTTTTCACAGGAATGGAGAAGAGAGAAGGCAAGAATTTTTAAACTTTTGTTCATTCTTAACAAAATCAAGTGCGCTTTCAAGGGGAAGAGAGGAGAATACAGGATTACAGCTGAAAGCCAAAGAATGCTGTGAAAGAAAACCATGGCAATGAAAAAGTCATGAGTCCACATAGGCTACCACTGACACACACACACAATGCCATGGCCTCATGTTGAAGAAAGTTTTAAACGTGGTTTTTCTGAACAATACACTTTAACACACTGCTGCAATATCATCAAATTCATGGAGGTAGTTATATGTAAAAATAAAAATTACCATAAAGTAATATGCTGTATCATAATAATACATAAGTGTGCAAAATGCCGACAGATGTGTTGACCCCTTAAAGTTGAACGCCTCACAGAGATTCAACCAGATCCAGTTTTGTAAACCTTTCAGTTGATAAACTCTAAAGCAGTCATGTAACACAAAGCTATGGTTCAACTGCAGGAAAAAAACATTGGCATAGCTTGGAGGGGGCCCAAGGATGTGGACTTCAAGACTCTCACACTGGGTGTGGCCATCTTGGACGTGTGCCTTTGTCACATGTCACAAATCATGTTTGTCATGCACTTTCTGCCACTACTCCTCCTCCATTCAAGAATCCAAATTAGATTCAGATGAAAGTATTTCTATCTACATGGAAGATCTGCTTACATGGTATATCATCTTTAAAACCCACCATTTCTGCGCTAATGGCTGTTGGTATGAGGGAGTGTTCATTTAAAAAATCATGTACCCCACAGCATCAAGCAAATAGCATACATATTTTATTTGAATAATGTCTTCTGTAAACCTATTCCTTGTGAAATATCAATAAATTCATATTTCAAACTTCTCTTGAATGTAATGATTTCCTTTCCTGATCACATAATATTTGATTACTTTGATGGCTACTTTCAAGAGAGTTAACCAGAGGCTGAATGTGTTGTATGAATGGCTATATTATTTATGAGCTGAACATGATAAAAATTTGAGGACAGGTTTTTTTTTAAAAAACTGAATTTAGACAAAAAAAAAATTTAGTAACTGTATGTTATACAACTCCCCAAGGAAACTACATTATCTTTCCTTCTGGACATATTTAAGCAATGAAATAATGCATTTCTGAGCAATTGAGGCATGCTTTGGAGGAATAGGCATGAGATTGAAAACTGACTGACTTAAGCATTTCAATGATGTGGCAATTTGCTAAGAAGTGTGCTTAAATTTTACAATAAGCCCCTCAAAAGAACTTAAACCAAACTTGAGGAGTCCAGTTTGACCCAATGCAACTTCCAAATAGCTGATAAAACATGATAAAGTATTCATATATTTCAAGGATTCATCTGACTTCCTTAAACAGATCAGTAATGATTAAACCTAATATGGAAACAGGTATGTCATATAAACTTCATGCCAATTTTTAAAATCTGAAGTGACAAAATTTTATACATATACAACATATGCATATATGTGTACATATACATATATGTGCACATTTATATATAATTTATGGTGTATGGCTCCAACTAGCACATGCTTCTTAAAATTAAATACAACTTTCTGTCAGACCACTACCTGGGTCACATGTAACCCTTTTGCAAACTGTTTTCCATTACCTACAGGTGTATTCCATTATTCTCAGAAAATAAAACATAGGGGTGTCTCTTTCCTCTAAAACAGAAGCATTAATGTTCACAATCCCTTTGCTGTTGAGCCTTCTTTGTATTCAACGTGACATTGTAAAACAAAGTAAAAATGTTAACAAACCATCTTGAAATTAGTTGGGCTAATTACTATACATCCACCTTAAAAAAAAAGCCTCCTGAAATTGGTTACAAAGTATCTGTAAACATTACTCTGGCATAGTTCATGTATGCATAATTGTTATTACAATAGATTTTAGGGGAGTACAAATTATGATTATACCACATTAGCAGAATGAGCACATTCTGTTGTTTCCTACATGGGCACATGTATATTTATAATCAAAAATTACTTTAAAAGTCTTCTCTATAGATACCTTCCCAGGAATAAAAGGCCCGAAGTTCAACTCTCCCTAAATTTGCTCTTTCCTATAACCACTAAAAATTATCTTCCACAGCCTAATTTAGGCATTCTATTTAAAACTACATAAAATAGATTTATATCCTTCCATTAGAAAGAATAACATCCTCAGGCCATACTCTTCATTTGTATCACAAAGAACATTTTGCTTTTAAACAAACTAATTATTATATCTATTATAGTAAGATAGGATCGTAAGTATTACAAGGAGGAAATCATCTTCCTTCAATATTTGACTAATAATCTTTTAAAAGTCCACATTACCTCTTCTATCACTTACTGGTGTGCCCTGGCCAGACTAGAAATTCCCTTCCTTTGTCCACTTCAGATTCAAAGGCCTATATTCCTGTTCGTAATTATGGAAAGTTAAAAACCAAGACAAGCATCTGTTACATTTGAAAGCAAAATCTTGAATATATCCCAGTCTTTCCATCGCGACCCTTCTGACACACTTCCATGGGCTCCTGGAAAATAGTGTCACAAAAACTCACAGTGAAAAATGACTGGTGCATAAACGAGTCACACACAAAGGACTGGGTCCCTTCTGGTCAGTTTGGCATTGAATTCCCTCAGGGTGGACCCTTGCATTTAACATTTGGTGGTGGCTTGGGGGATTTTCTTTCTTTCTTTTTTTTTAAGTGTCAAGGATCAGTTCTGTGGCCCCATTTAACCACAAACTGGGAGCAACACGCATCTGTGGCATTTTAAAATGGAATTGGCAACTGCATGACATTGAAAATGCATACTCCACTTACAGTGTCTAGACTTTCCTATGTGTGCTCAGATACAATTAGTGAAGCAAAAGTATACATATCACCCCTACTGCTATTCGATCGCTACAGAGCCATAAATGTGAAAAGCAATACTCTGAAATAAAGATTTTTTTTTTTGCCCTAGCCTACTTAGCGGCACAGTTTAAGTAAACCCCAAAACTGTGCCTGAGATGCTTGTCTTTCTGAAGATGTAAACATCAGTCCCAGTGTCGTAAACTTTGCTGTATCAAATGAGACAGAAGATCTGAGGCAGAAGGACTATCACACACTAGTAACAGAAGCTTGCAAGCAGTTGGATGGTTTCTGTAATTTCTCAGCTTCACTGGTCGGGGGATCCGTATTGGCGCGGAAGTTGAAGGCTGGACCAGCTCCACCGTGGGCTGGACTCAAAGCAGGATTCTGACGACGGTTACTTTCAACAATGCTTGATGTGTTGGAAGCCAGGCTCTCTCGAGTACTAAAAGAGTAAAAAGGGTTGATTTTGTTTTGCTTTGAATATAAATAATTATATATTGAGCCCCAGAGGAAGAGCAAATGATGTAGTTAATGGATTTCCTCTGTTGGTTCACAATGTCAAATCCATACACATCTCCACTGATTATTAGCATATGCTCTTCCATCCGGGGCTCCAGGAGCTCTGACGAGACATGTTGCAATCAGCAGCACAAGGAATGAATAAAAACTGCCAAAGGTACTCAGAAATGGCTCTCCCTTCTTTTCACATTTACAGAATACTTAAAAATTTGATACGATAGATAGCTATCATACTACCTTTAAAATCAAACCTGTGGAATGATTTCATTTCAGGCTGGAAATTGATGGGCATAATTGCTCCTTGAAGAAAGCCAATGATTTGACCCTCTTGTTTCCATTTTTGTCTTTGATTAGGAGATTTTGACTTTGGTGGACTCCATGCATGCCACCAGCTAATTTGCCACACTGATGAGAATAAAATGTTTTGAAACACTTGATACCTCTTCTTCAAATTGTAACATGTCAGTTAAAATACAGTATTTTCAGATAAAGGACCTCAGATTTTTTTTTCCCCTATTTACCTTTGCCTTCCTACGGTAGAAATATTTTTCATTTTAAAGGATTCTTGTAGAACAGAGGTAATTTTAAAGCTTTTATTATTTCAATTTTTCTTTTAATTCTTAAAAATAAGGAATATTTTAATCTATTTCCTTTGAGAGATTTAGAACATTCAACATTAAAGATGTAGGTCAATGGAACTAAGATTAATGAGCTTCAGTAAGGGGAACTGAATAGGTTTCTTTCAGATCCTCAAAAGTGGCTACAAGAAACTTACCAACGTCGACAGAGATTGAAGAAACCATAATCATTCTCCACAACCACCTCACACAGCAGATTCAAACTTTAGAAAATATTCTGAGAGTCCATCCCCATACCTGATTTAAGGGTGCTAAAGCTAGTCAACAGATCAATCCATTGTAGTGGAGACATTCTCTCCTCTCCTATTTCATTCCCATCCTAAACTGATGTAAATTCTGTCTGAATCCTATAGTTTGGCAGCCCTAACAGGCTACTTAATATTAATCCCTAGAGGCTTTGAGTTTACTTTTTAACCAGTTGTTTAAAATGCAGTTTATTCAACTACAAAAATATCACCATACACCTTTCTTCACTTCCAGAATTTGAATCAATTCATACAGATAAGTCAAGTTCTTTCATTGGGCTTTGGCTAAGTCTAGGTAAACCTAAAGAATACTTCAAAATGCCACCACCGATGGGACACAGAGTGCCTTACTCACCTACTTAGCTGCCTGACACTGTCCCCAAGTAAATTCTACAGTGCCCTGTCAGAGCTACAACTGAGGCAGGTTGGGTCAGGATAGAGAAA